AATGAAAGCAGTGGTATTCCCTGTACGTCGCGTGCGCTGACACGTTTTTCAGTTGCGTACGGTTGCTCACTTTGCTACCTTGATTGGGAGCATCCGTTCTTTAAACTAATCTAAAAAATTTTTGAGGTCTTCTTACAGTCTAAGCATTGTAGCTGTCATTCTTAGGCTCTTTCTCTCCAAAGTTTAGGGCCATTTGCCAGATAAATTCAGATTTATTGGTTGAGGATAGAAGGCTTGGAGTCTATATTAATCCTTTTTTAGTAAATTTTTGTGCTTGTCCAAGCCCTTCTTGAGTGAATCAGTTGAATTTGCAGATACCACTTCTTCGGAGTGTCGGTTCCAGGAGTTTATAACTCGGTGTGAGAACCAGTACTCAACAGCTATATGGTTTCTTCTTGGCTTCTGAACTCTCCTGCTATGTCCTGTAAAATGCTCTGTCCTGGTGGGAAGGAAAAGAGAGAATAGGTCAGGTCCGTAGTCATTATTTAAAATTGTAAACACTGTAATTAAATCTCCTCTCTTCCTACGGTATGACTGAGAAGAGATTTAAACTGTCTAGTCTTTCTTCGTACGATAAGTTAGTCATGCCGAGAACCACACGTGTTGCCTTCCTTTGGACCTTTTCTAGAATATGTGAATCCCCTTTAAGACAATGACTGACTGGCTGTCTGGATACAGTCTTGACCTCACCAGAGATGTTTATATACATTATTATATGTAAGGAGGTGAACATATCTCTGGTGATTCTAGTAAAAGCTCTGAGAATTGCCCGTAAGGATCTGAAAATACGTACAGCCACCGCGCGGTAGTGTACTGTAGTTTTTAAATCGTCGACTAACTATGACACCTAAATCCAAATGACTGAACTGATGGGAGTGTTATTCCCTCTAGTTCGTAGGAGCTGATGCTTGCTTTTCTGATGCGCATGGTTGCACATTTTGCTACATTGCTGGGGAATATCCATTCTCTGGACCACTCTGACTATTTGTTGAGGTCCTATTGCAACGTGAGCGTATCACTGTCGGCCTTCAGCTCTCTCCAGATTTTTAAGTCATCTGCGTACAGGACCATAGGGGAATCGGTGAGCAGAGATAACTCATTGATATACAAAATAAATGGGAGAGGTCCGAGTGCCGTGCCTTGTGGCACTCCGTTACGCACTGCTTTCCAGGAGGAGGGTTTCGAGTTGATCCTAACCCTATGCCTCCTATCTATGAGGAATTCCCTAATCCAGTTTAGTAACCTGCTTTTGATACCAAGACTTTCCAACTCCATAAGTAGTCTCTTGTGAGAAACTTTATAATAAGGCTTTGCTGAAGTCTATGAAGACGACGTCAACAGGTCTTCTGTTGTCCCTTGATGTGACCCAGCTTTCTCTTCCAGTTAGAAGATATGACAGGAATGAGACGTTTCCTGTACTCTGGATAACAAACTGTTGTTTTCCAGATATGCCATGATACTTTTCTTGATGACTCATTCCATTGTCTTGATTAAACCGCTGGTGAGACTAATAGGCCTGCAGTTTTGAAAGGCTTTGTCTTGGTCCTTTTTTGTGGTTAGGGGTCAATATGGCGTCTTTCCAGTCACATGGTTACACTGCATTTAGGAGAGACATCTTGAAGATGGTGGTCAGTGGACCGGCTATGTGACTGAACTAAGTCCGGTGTTCTGTAGTACAGTGCTACGTACCGTTTTCCAGAAAGAGAGTTTTGAGTTGTTTCTTACCATCCATCCTACTTATGAGGAATTCCTTTCTCTAAATTAGTAGATTGCCCGTATTTCCAGAACTCTCCGACTTCTTGAGTAGTCTTGTGTGAAGCACTTCGTCTAGAGTTTTACTGAAATCTTCATAAACGATGTCGATGAGTTTGTTGTTGACCCTGGACTTGAGCCAGTTTCCGCTTGGTGCACGGTTCTTCAGCCATGAAATGTTTCCCCGGAAACAGTGATGTGTGCTGCATAACAAGCTGTTGCTTTCCAGATATACCATGCTACATTTCTCGATCAAAGTGTTGGTAAGAACTGTAGTTTGAAGGACAGTGTCCATATTCTGTCTCTTGGACGAGGGTTTCTGTAGCGTCCATCCAATCATGTGCTAACACTCCATTTATGATAATGTTTGGAGGTCGAAAGAACTGTCAACTCCTTGAGAAACTTCGGGTGAAGGGTCCCATCGACGTACATGTCTGTTTGGGGACTGGGGTACCATGTTTCGGTCGACTTCGATAAAGTCTATCCAGTTTCCCTCTGAAGTTGCCAAAGATGATGCTATGCCGACAGGGGGATGATGAGTCATCTATGAAGACACTAAGGGGAGTAGTCTGCATTGCTCCCACCATTCCCTGGTCCTCTTTGATTGTGTAGACAGGTTTCGGACTACCTTGAACGTCTCATTCCTGGGTCGTTTCATTGTCTTCTAAGCTAGATGCATTTTGAATTCTCGCGATGACTTTATTTCTGGCCACAGTGTACAGCTTTCTGGTGTCTGAAGTCCAAAACTTCCCAGCACTTGTGCTTCCACCTAAGTAGTCTCCTCCTGGGGAGCAGTGTTGTCAGCCCTTAAGGGTAGACCATGAGTTGCGTGGACGTAAAGTTGCTTGAATTGTCTCTATACAACTATCACATGAGATTCTGGATTTATATCCCAGTCCTGTAATAAGGCTGATAAAGTGATGGTGTGTGTGTCAGCTTTCCACACGTTCAGCTGAGCTGAAATTACGGTCTCAAATACCGCAGATGTAAACGTAATCGTCAGCACAGCGTAATCACTTCTTCTTAGGCTAGGAGATGTTATATGAGAAAACTAGGTCCAGGATTGAAGAAGAGTACTGAGAGTCTTAACGCTTAGCTTTCTAGATATGATGAACTAGAGCTAATGAAATGGAAGATTCTATCATTACATGGTCAGCGAAATTTTCTGAGGATAAGGATTGACGCGATCAGTGATCGACCGTAGTAACTACGATTACCTCTATATGAAGATATGTACTAATGGTTCAGATGGTCCATCAAGGGGATGGACATCCAAGGGGTCGCACAACGGGATGATACTGCATGCCTCTCTGGTATTGCAAGGGGCTGGGATGAGTGCATTTGATTCTCCTAAAAGCCAGTATACAATTACTCAGTACTGGTTGATCTTAACGGCAGTCGGATGTTTGTTTCAAATATTATGCCATACATGTCTATGTACATACTTTGGAATAGTGAAACTGTGGATGGCTCACTAAATCAACTAGGGTTTTTTAGATAAAATATATACTGCACAGATAACTGTAGAGCTGATACATACAATCATGCCATGACTGGAAGACAAACGGGTGCATTTGTCTGAACAGAACTCAACTGAGCACACTCCATGTGCCATATAAATAAATACAAGAGATTGCAAACAACGATAATAAGCAAAAATGACTGAGTAAAAATGGCGAAGTTAGGGTTTATTGAATATAAAAGAGATCACAAAGGGCTAATACATCTGCGTATTGAAAACTACTTTGAGCCATATCACCAATAGTCGCCAACCATCGGTTTTTAGTATCTCAAGGATCCCAGTCAACCGAGAGTACCACATCTTTCCAACGTGGCCGAAACTGCCTGTGGAAGTCTTCATTGATTGTTGACAGGCTTTTGGTTTAACCATCTTTGTTCACTAAATTGCTCCCATGTCATCTAACATTGACCGCGTCAAGTAAGGCGATGGCTGGACATGTGTAACACATGTCTTACCGATTTCACTCCATGTAGCTTCTCAATCTTATCGATCAACTCACCCCCACTCCGTTCTATCTAACACTCGAAGCCTAACATAAATATCACTCAATATATTACATCAATTAACACTGGAGATAGACTGAAAATGTCTCTTGTCAAAGATAGCTAGTCTTCACGTATATCCCACTTTTAATGGCCGTTTCTCACAGGCATATAGGAGGACGAAGTGAACTGCTGCAGACACTGCCGCACACTCTCATTGATCAATCGCCAGCCGGATATCACGTCTACGCCTCAGGTGATGAAGGCTGAGAAATCACAAATGAACCCTTTGTATCTGTGCTGAGATTTCGTTATGAATGAGTCCGACGGGGTCGACTGATGCAACTCCCCAAATAAGCGAGGTGGTCAACTCGCTCAACCACTTCACTTGCTATCTTTAATCTCGGAGTCGATGTATTCCAGTCCTGCATTATCATCATCATCACCATCATCTGAGATTCGATAAGAGCGAATCGAATGGCAAACATTCGAAGATTGCTGCTCCTTGAGGTGTTCAGAAGACTGTATTTTTACCAGCCTCTTCACCTAGAAGGACAATGTCATCCGTATAGTCTAAGTCTACAAGTCTGTTTTCGGGTAAAAAGTCAATCCCTAAGTGAATGAGGGTCAATTCGATTAACATATCTATGATAAAATCAAATAGAAATGGGTCAGTAAGCATCTGCGACGGACCTAACCCACTTCAACTTTTGCAATTGCCTAGCACCTTCAGCCCTCACACAAGTCTGACTCACAGCCTGGGACAGAAAAGGTCCATTCTGGTAGGTGTGTTCAAAAATCACCACTGGTTGTCATCACACTTCAGATGATAACTCTACATAATCTCTTACCTGACTGCGTGAGTTCTATTAGATTGTCTTGATTAGTGCAATCTGTTTCTTTCAGCACTCCCTAGTCATCCGAAATTGCCAACTTCATCCTCTATAAAATTTTCCTACTCTTTGTAACTCAAGTACAGCACTCAACTGGGAAACCTTGAAGAGGTGTAGTTGATGTCATCAGTGCTCCTTACCTTGATAGTTTGCTTCTAAAGTTTATTTCATTAAATGTAGGGTAAAATACCGCCTAAAGCAACATATTCCCTGTGTTCCAGTGTCTGAATGGCCTTGTAACCGCAAGTTTCGAACCCTAGTGGATGCGTGCGTACTGCCACAGAGTCCCATAAAAGTAGGACGAAACAGCTTTCCAGTACTCCTTGTTGGTTTTTCAGTGGTCCTCTAACTGATGTTAGCTTGTGATCAATCCCGTAGCCAATCATAACCCTACAATCTAACACTTAATAATTGACATTGTTAGGATCTGAGTCACTAGTGTACATAATATTAAAGTATCACAGTATTTTTGCATGACAACCAAAATCTAATTGACGCTTAGAAATTCTTAATTTTTTATGGTTGTATTGTATTATTTATACTTTAGGATATGCGGAGCTTCACTTACTTCCGCATTGCTGTTCCTTAGATCAACCAATATATTTCTGTGCACGCTAAATGTAGGCGAGATTTTCTTTTTGCCATTTACTTATTTATTTATCCCTAATTGTTGTCTGTTTATAACAAAATGCATCCTGACATTAATTACATTCTTAAAATTGTTATTAGTATTAGTATATGGCTTCAACAGAACATCCCTAATTCACCCTGTTTTCTGTAGTCTTCTCTACCTGACTCCAAGATTACTCCTAAGGTTTTATTTCTGCCTCTGAGTGATATTACTCAACAGTCTCTTCATAGTGTATCTAATAATTCATCACCATTCTCTTCGACATATTCGTTGGACTATAGGTTCTTGGTTGGTTCTCTTTGCATTGCAGAGTTCTTTGTTGCTCATCCTTTCTCACTGGCTGTCTGACCTTTAAGAACGAGAGAACTCCCCATGGGCAGGTGTTGTGATGAGATTTTGCAGCAAGCTGTTGGAAATGCTTTCCGTGACGCGTTTCAAGTCTTTGAACCGTGTAGAGGAGAACTGACTCAATCGACTTTAGTGTTGAAAATCTGAATTTTATTCTTTATGGTGAGTACAGCAGATATCCACACTGATTTTAGAGTAATAAGCGTCTGCTGTGTCGCATTGCAATCCTGCCTGGCTTTTCACATCCTCATCTGTGTACCGCCCGCCTGTAGTTGAAACAATGCTGCCTAGATGAGTGATTGATGCTCGTTGTTGTTGTTGTTTTTGGTTAGGTATCCACTACATCTATCTTTTCTGTATTCACATAAAGTGGTGTCTTCGCTGCCTGCTTCTCCTACCAACTTGTTAATTTTCACCTGTAGATATTCGTATCTCTCTGTGTGTGTGTGTGTGTGTGTGTGTGTGACATCGAGCATAAATCATTCGTAAGGTTCAGGTCGTCTAGAGTGTTCTTGTCGGCCTTATGTATTCCTGCCTTCTCTTTCCCCCACGCATGATCTGTTGCCTGCTACAGTCTACCACAATCAGGAATATCATCGGCGACCACTTCATCTCTAACTGTTTATTACACATAATCGATTCAGACACTTGTATTTTTAACCACTCGTCTTATTTCTCCCAAGTTATGCATTATGTAATCCACTTGTTTAATTTTTGAATAAAGCAAGAACATTTGGTGAAGAATAAGATGATACCGTCATTTGTCAATGTGGCTATGGACAGTCCAAGTAGCTCCGTTTTAGCAGATGTCCTCATGTCCAGCCTTCAGAGAACAAAGTTGAAGCATGTAATCGACAAAACAACTTATTGTGTATATTTCACAGATGGCACGCACATTTTTAGTGTGAAACAATGAAAGTTATGCTTCCTACCTACTCAGATTATTCAACGACGCACATACCAAACATTCAATTTACTATGGAACATGAAGATGATGGAAAGTTCCATTTCCTTGACACATCGACCTTAGCTACATCTGGAAGATGGTGCGGCCTCCAGAGATCAATTTACCGAAAGCCAACATCTAATGGACTTCATTTATATTTGAAAAGTTTTTGCCAAAACAGATTTAAACAAGCGCCAGTCAAAACTCTTCTACAGAGACAAGAAAATATGTTCTTCATGGAAATTAAAGGCAGAATTTCTGATCCTCGAGAAGATATTGAAAAACAACATATTTGCCGTCAGAAATTTATTAATAAGTACGGAAGATGTGAAGACTCCAATGTCGGAAGCTGACTAATAACCTTTTTCATCATGTTAACTCTAACTGTGTATACAAATTTGCACGTACCTGTGGTAGGAGTTGGTTACATTGGGAGAAGAGAAAGGATGGCACACCTTTTAATTTTCTTTTTTAAAAGTATGTACCAAAATGCCTACGTCTCAAGGAAACAAACGCTTTCAATAGTACGACTGTCGGGCGTCTCCTTGAAGACGGGTCACTAGGTGGACATCTCAGATTCCCCTAAAATTATCAATAGACTAAACAGTTCAGTTCTCCTCAATTATCCTGAATCTATCTTTACCAAATGACTGAAATCCGATGTGTGTGTTCGGAAGGAAGCGGTTATCAGTCTTTCCTTGCCCATCCTGGTAACGGGGTGTCTTTATTCATCAATGTGATTACTCAGTCTTTGGCTGTAACCTCACCCCTCCCCGTTTGATATAGTGTAGTTTTACTGGTCTCTTGTTCCTATGATTTGGGTTGAATACAGTATATTACTACTCAATTTATTAGTTAATCATCTCTTGTCTCTTTATTATATAATTCCTTTACCCAGTGTATGCATACACCGAGCAATGCCCACTGGAATGACTCAATCAAAAGTTTTACACCAGACTAGGCGGGTGGCTGGGCGAATTCTCCTCTTTATTCTTTTGTCTTCTGAATTTCTAAATTGGAATTTATTTTATATTTTCTGTTTTAGGCGATAACATACATTGTGGGTATCAGAATTAGATATCATTACTTGAAGCTTGAAAAAGAGCAAGTGAGTAATTTTCTACACACTTGATTTAAGAAATTAAATAGTGGAACTTCTTTTCTTTATTGCATTTTACTCGAACTCATGTGATGTAATGACAACCGGTGGTGGCCGGTAGGGATGCCCACATATCTATTTAGTTTCATCAAAGTTATGTTAATAGGGTTGATTCTAATTGACTTTTTCAGTGACTTACGAATTAACTTGCGACAGGGGAATAGTCCTGTCAACATAGAGTATACGGATGACATTGTCCTTCTAGGCGAAGAGGCTGGTAAAAATACAGAGTCCTCTGAACACCTCAAGGAGCAGGAATCTTCGAATGTTTGCCATTCGATTCGCTCTTATCGAATCTCAGATGATGGTGATGATGATGATAATGCAGGACTGGAATACATCGACTCCGAGATTAAAGATAGCAAGTGAAGTGGTTGAGCGAGTTGACCACCTCGCTTATTTGGGGAGTTGCATCAGTCGACCCCGTCGGACTCATTCATAACGAAATCTCAGCACAGATACAAAGGGTTCATTTGTGATTTCTCAGCCTTCATCACCTGAGGCGTAGACGTGATATCCGGCTGGCGATTGATCAATGAGAGTGTGCGGCAGTGTCTGCAGCAGTTCACTTCGTCCTCCTATATGCCTGTGAGAAACGGCCATTAAAAGTGGGATATACGTGAAGACTAGCTATCTTTGACAAGAGACATTTTCAGTCTATCTCCAGTGTTAATTGATGTAATATATTGAGTGATATTTATGTTAGGCTTCGAGTGTTAGATAGAACGGAGTGGGGGTGAGTTGATCGATAAGATTGAGAAGCTACATGGAGTGAAATCGGTAAGACATGTGTTACACATGTCCAGCCATCGCCTTACTTGACGCGGTCAATGTTAGATGACATGGGAGCAATTTAGTGAACAAAGATGGTTAAACCAAAAGCCTGTCAACAATCTATGAAGACTTCCACAGGCGGTTTTGGCCACGTTGGATAGATGTGGTACTCTCGGTTGACTGGGATCCTTGAGATACTGAAAATCGATGGTTGGGAGCCTGTCAGTTACACTGTGTAAAGTAGCCTGAGAACCTCATATGTTCAAGTGTGAATGCAAATGATTGTCTCGCCTAATATGAGATGAAAAGGCACTGCAAGCTGCAACAACTAAGACACAGTTATGAAAATTGTCGGCAGCCCTAAGTATTTGTCAATCATAAAATTCCACTGGAGAAGCAACTGGTGAATTTGGATCCAGGATTGTAAATGTTTCAAACTGACTAAGGTTCAACACAGGACTCTTCGCATATAGAAGTGCAGCGGTTCAACTGACCACACTCTGGGAAGTACACAAATGAAAACGAAATAGAAAAATAAAAGGGATTCAAGACAGTATAAACGAACAATGTTGTTGTTTTCAATTGGATCTTCTTCAGGCTTTACTCTAGTTCACATAGATTTATATATAAAAATTTTAACCAATAATGGTGATTTTGTGGATGAAATAATAATAATAATAATGTGGTAAATGTTTTGAACGTCATTATTAACGATGATTATAATGATAACACAATGTCGATAAAAAGGTTTATGCAGTTGGCGATATGAATAACAAAGGTAGAATATGTGGGCAATTCAATAGATAAATGAGGTCGAATCTTAAGATTTACATAATACTTAAGGTAGGTGAAGTGGGCAAATAATCAGGGTTTAAGTAAATATATGATAAAAGTACTAAGGAAATGGAAAATTAGAAAGAGTGGGAGGGTTTTGATTAGAATTCACCTAGGTCAAGGGAGAGACAAAGATGAAATAAACCTCTTTTGTATGCAAAGACTAGGATTGTTCTCTCGAATTCCAATAGCTTCGGTTATGTGTAAAAGGCTGGTTCGAAATCCGCTCGAAAGGCTCGATGGAATGCGATAGGATAACTACGAAGACACTACTTCTGTCCACTTGGTGGCCGGTGTCAATCAAATGAGCCAAAGTAGAACTTATAGATTTTATTTGGCCTTTTCTGAACCATAAAGAAAGCTGCCCACTAATGCGTTTATTGAGCTGTCTAGTTGTTCGCCCTATATAGCTTTCTCCACAGGAGTAACTAAATTTGTAGATACACATAGAAGTGGCACGGCTAGGTAGATTGTCTTTCATGAGGACTATAGTAAGCAAAAATGTGAGGGAGAAAGAATAGTAACACATGTAATAGCATATGAGGGTTTAATGCATGTGGTAATCCACAAAGAGTGAATGCATTTATGCTACCGACAACGATTTGAAGCAGTATCTGCATTAGCCACTAGCCATTGGTTTTTTAGCATCCCGAGAACCTGTAGAGTTCCGACTGTTTTTTATTTTTGATGAATTCCGATGGCCGCTTTTATTTGGAGTACTCAGTACCTAGAGGGCTTTAGGCAGTTTATTTAGTGATGTATTTGTAAGAGACATTTGTATTTTTGGTGTGCACTAACTACTCCTCCTATAGATATTTTCTTTGGGCTGTTTCAGGAAGAACGGAGAAGCGCTGCCAGAATGCGTTTAGCCTTGGGTGCAGGCTATGTAAGTTTTATCTTTATATTACCATACTTACCATATTATATTTATGTAAAAGGCTTGTTTAACATTTGTCAGCTTACGCTAGCTCTGACGTGGACGTGATATCCGGCTAGCTGTTGACCAAAGGATGTATCTACCGCTCAGCAGTTCGCTCCGTCCTCCTTTATCGTGGGGAGACATGGCCGTCGAAAATGGAAGACATGTTCACTGTCTTTCTTTTGAGCCTCTTTACTGTCTTCTCTGGCTTTGTATTTATACTACATGGATTGTGACAACTCGAACTGTTGCACAGATGTGCAAAGTTCTATACCTGAAACAACATTGGTTTGTGCAGAATAAGAAGATGGTACCATCATTTATTTCGTTGGCTTCTCATCAGCTGCTTACAGCCCAAATAAATTATGAGGTTTATATACAGAAAAGTTTTTACACACTTGCAAATTTTTTTCTTTATGGTGTCAGTTGACAGAAAGTTCCGCAGTTAGTGAACAGTGCTCAGAAAACTGCGCTTATATAGTTTTTACACAGGCAGTTCAAGTTTAAACAAAATAAATGTATGCATACATTGGTAAAGGAGCTACGTAATAGAGACGAGAGATGCGTAAGATGCTGAGTGACTAATAAATTAGGTAACAATGTTCTGAGTTCGATTCAAATCATAGAAACAAGGGACAAGCAAAATTACACTGTGGGGTGGGTGGGGTTAAAGCCAAAGATTAGGTAAACAAAATGGAAAAAAGAATAAGAACATCCAGTTACCAGGATGGGCAAGGAAAGACTAATAACTGCTTCTTTCTAATCACATAAATCTGGTTTCAAGCGTTCGGTAGAAGTTGCTTCGGCAAACTTGAGGAGAAGAATCGAACTGCTTTGTCTATTGATAATTTTAAAGGATTTCGCGATTTCCACCTCATGACCCGTATCGAGGAGATGCCTGGTAATAGTGCTATTATAAGAGTTTGTTTCCTTAAGAAGTAGGATTTTCGGTGCATGTCCAGAAAATCGGAGGTGTGGTCTCCTTTCTGTTCTCCCAATGTAACTGCTCCCGCAGATACACGTAAATTAGTATACACAGATGGAGTTAACATGAGAAGAGCATTTGTCAACTTTTGACTGCACCAAAGAGCTTGTTGTTCGATGGATGGGAACCAGCTTAGCTGCAGGATGGCTAGTGATGTACTCAGTCTTCTGTTGACGATTACTGCAATGTTTTCACCTATAAAATCTAGTTGAATGAAGACAGGCTTTTTTCTACTGTGATTTGTTTGATGTTTGAGTCTTCACATCTTCTACATTTGTTAATGAATCTTTGAGGATAACTGTTGTTTTTCAACACCTTTTCGAGAATCGTAAATTCTTCATCTAGTTTCTGTGCAGATCATATTCTCCTCACTAAATAGTGCAGAGTCTTGACTAGTGCTCCTTAATAGCTATTTGGAGGAAAACTATTAAAGTGTAAGTATTGTCCGTTCCATGTCATCTTTCTGTAAACTGATCTCTGGAGACTACCATCTTCTAGGCGGCGTTGCATGGCAATGTCAGGGAAATGGAATTTTTTATCATTTTCATGTTCCATTAGTAAATTCAATGTTTGTATGTGCGTCGTTGAATAAGCTGAGTAGGTAGGAAGCATGAGTTTGATTGTTGCACACTACAAATGTGTCGTCGGCATATGGAGAATAAAAAGTTGTTTGGTCAATTGCATGCTTCAACTTTATTCTCTGAAGGCTTGACATGAAGATATCTGCTAAAACAGGGCTAAGTGAACTGGCCATTGCTACACCATCTATTTGTCGGTAAAGAGTGTTATCAAACTGGAATTGTCCACCCATGATGGTACACACATTAGCAGTAGGCGTTTGAATTCCGACTATGGTAGTGGGAGAAGATCAGACTGTTGACAAATGATCCTAATCAATGGTTTTTCATTGACTAAGATTATTATGAACAAGGAGGTTGCATCATATGGTACCATCTTCTTATTCTGCACAAACCACTGTGTTGTTCATGCCTTTATTCAAATTCGTCAAGGGGATAAACATTGATTGTCCTGAACTGACTGAATTGATGAGGTTAAAAAAATGTATAACTAAGGCTGGCTGTACTTTGTAACATATATCTCCTTATCACCGGTTTGAGGATGTCTGCTAACTACACACTTCGTGATCTAATGATATGGTGAATTGAGCATGTCTATGATAGGTCGAAGTGGAACATTCTTCTGACGCACTTCAGGGCAATCAATATAGTTTTGGAATAATTGAACTGCATATATATATATACATATATATATCATATAGTTTTTTGGTTAATCTGTTTCTATTAACCTATGAAGTATGCCTTCTTCTCTTATAGATGTTTCTGAAGTGGTTGCGTAACAAGAGTAAAGAACGCGATTATTGAACATTTTTGTCAGTGGTTATGGCTGCTACCTACTGGTCATCTTATGTGTTCACCTAACTTCTCTGTCATTTAAAGTTATGTGTAACAGTAATCAAAACAAAACTGTTGACCGGTTAAAATCATCATCTGTAATGTAGTTTGTATGTGTGTGTGTGTGCGGAGTTGGGGTCGGTGGGTGGTGTGTATTGCTAAGAACTTACGTTATCATCATCAAAATGCTCTAATTATGATTGTAATCATAAATGTTTTGCTGTAATTCAAATTATTATCATTAATAATATTATTATTACTAATTTTTTTAAAGTGATCATGTTTTTATACAACTTGGTAATAAAATCGTTGAAAAGTGACTCTTTTGTGGAGTAGTGGTTTGTCGTTGTTTGTTTTTCCCTAAATATCATGTTATCATGTTATAATGATAATAAATAGTTCATTTAGAAGGGTCACCAGATAAGCAAGCACATGTGATGTGTAGAGTGTTACACCAGTCAAACTTGCAAATGGAGTGGGTGAATGCGTGTCCCTCACCTCAGATAGATGCGAGGAACTCTGGCTTCTTTTTCTCCCAGCTGCAAGCAATTTTAATCACCCCAGTATATTCGTCTATACTATCCGGCGTGAGATGAATTAGCCTGCTGATTCTAGTGGGACCTTTTTATACTTAGCAGAGATAGCAAAAGAAGCTACGAATTCTCACTTACACCAACTCTAGTTATATTCACGACACGAAACCGTAGGATATGGATAGGCGTACACTGAAGTATGATGAGCATATCTATATAAGTGTCCCAAAAGGAGCGTTGCAGTCCTCCACCCACGACTCTATCGATTATTATTTAATTTATTCCTTTGCCTTCCGAGTAGAATAATTAAAAGGCCTTAAGCTCACCTCGTGGTTTCTGCAGCAGAGGTGTTTATTTTTACGAGTTGAGGTTCCTAGCTCCATTCTACCCTCTCCACTGGACTTACCACCGGTGAATAGGCGAGGTTGACGAGTGAGTTAGCCGGGAATCAAACCATGTGCGACGTCGTTAGCTAGTATTCTGCTGCTGAAACATCGATGCACTACACCATCGATAACTGATAGGAAAATGATCTATACGAGGAGTCTAGGCTTAGTAGTAGAGGGAGAACATCAGGTAGACCCACGATGATGGTTGTGCCGAAAGTTGGAGCTAATTTGAAATAGGTTGTGATCTGCCCATAAACTACTTTACCTGCCTCCATCTCCTCCCCATTGACTACCTGCACGACTCTCCTCGGAGCCTAAATGCCCAGCGTGTGCATTCAAATGCTCAAATAGGACTACTATATATATATATATATATATATATATATATATATATATATGTTGGACATGTATGTTGCAGTGGCTCGTTAAGCTGACTACAGTAGAACTTGTCGTTAATTGCATGTGAGCTTTAATCCGTCAGTACACATAGACAGAGATGACGAATGAGGAACGCTTCTCTGTCCGTTTGCTTCTAACTCGAGTATAAACATTAGTTTGACAGAAGATAAATGACTGTAATTGGAAATCCAATCGAGTAGTGCATCTTTGACTCTAACGCTTAGTGCAACACTGACACCAGGTAGGTTGAATGCAGAAGATACACGGTCCCCAGATAAAACCCACTACTCAAGCTTGTGGATGGAGGTATTCGAAGCACTTCACTTGGATCTTGAATGCGTGTGTCCTAGATATAGCGAACACTGAAAGTCAAGCTTAGCAGTGTTCTTGCCGGACCTACCTGTTGCCTCATTCATAAAGTTTCAGGCAGCTAACTTGAGAGTGACTCGGATTACAGAACAGCATTGGAGGTCAATATTGTGAAGGCAACTAGTAATCGGAATCCGTACGAATAGGCTGAGATTTCAAACAACAGAGAAAGGCTGGCAAAAGAGAAAACTCCTGAAAAAAAATACGACAAAACTGTTTATTATTATCTGAAAGTAAATTGATAAAGGATCAAGTCACTAGATTGGTGTGATTGGTGAAGTAATCTGTGTAATTGTGCCAGTGGCCTAGATACTACCTGGACACGTAGATGGGAACAGGTGGTTTTCTTAAGACACAACTCTTCGATCCTATTTTTCGAGTTTTTATCTACAGAGCAGTTTCTCTGGGATCACAGTGATGAGAAAAGATTAGGACACCATTGAGTCGTTTGGTATTCTTGAGGTCATGTGCAGCATAGGTTTGAAATCATTTCCACCAATCTGCTGATATACCCCCAAATACGTCCATTCACGTTTTTACTCTTGTGGGTACCCCCCACCCACCGCCTAGATCAACGCAGTGAATAAAACTTTTACTTGGTAGAGGGGGCTTTGAACGAGTAGCCATACCATCCTTGGTCGTACCAAGTTAGTCATTAGAACTATACTCATTAGTAAGTAGTGGACTTGTATCCAGTGTGATTCTTATCACAATGTTAGAATACAACTACCGAATTCAGTGTTGCTGTTTGACTATTTTGTTTTTGACAATTTTTTGTTTATCGATTATTAGATGTGAAAAATGTTACCTTGAAAATATAGAATGTCACTGATATGCGTAGTCCCATTAAGCAGAAGAGTTTCATTACATTTTTTTTTCCTTCACGCTCCCCAGTGGAACATAGGGCTTCAAGCTAGTGGCTTGAAGTTTCTGCAGCAGTGTTTATTTTACAGGATGGGGTTGCTAGCCTCATGCCCAACCTTTCCTCTTTACCAGCATTATTTCTGGCTTAGCGAGGTAAAGGAGTGCGTCGGCCGGGGATCTAACCCCGGACCATGTGCATGGTCGGCGAGCGTCCTAACCGCTATGCCACCGACGCACTTCATTACATTAATGTCAGTAAAAAGTTTGAGCATTGTGGAATAGATCAAATAAAGTATAATTATATTTCAATAGTTTACACACAATAAATAATTTTTGTTATTGGTAATATTTCGAGCAAAATTACTACTGCCTGTGTTCACACCACTGTTGTTGGAATCGTTTTTATTCACACACACATAACTATCTTGCTCAAGGGACATTCAGGGTCATACTGAAAGCCTACGAAGCCACAGGTAGACCACAATTCAATTTCAACACCCAGAAACTGAAGGATAAAACCATAAAGGTTGCCTTCAGTGAAACTATCAGAGACGAGTCGGAGACAATTCGTAGCATTATCGAGAAAACCGTTGAGGAAGAACACTTGACGTTGGTGGAAGGCTGTGTAGCTGCCTTAGGAAGGGGAAGAGGCGAGATGTGTAACGCCTCTCTACAGATACCCAGAAACTACTAGAGTGGAGAGGGATGGCAAAACGGAAGATGTTGGTGATGGTGAACATCGAGTGGACGTTCAATGAGTCAGTTTTATGTTCGTTAGGGGTTGGATTCTCTGTTGTGGCCCAGGCGTTTTCTCGTTGATAAAAAGGTCGGAGCAGTGCGATCAGAAGTATTAATGTTTATTATATTGACGTTGTTTGTGGACGTTTTTGGCGTATTGATAGTAGAAAACTGTGAATTACATAGTCAAGCAGCTGTGCACTTAACTTGCTTTATTTGCTGATACTTGGTTGATCAATAAATCTTCAGCTTAACGTTCGTCTTTTAATAAAGCTTTCGTTAAGGTGGAATTGGTTATTATATACATATAACAGTATCCTGGGTTCCCGAGAGTTGCCGTCTGGTTACAACAAGGTTTCCTGATACCCATTATTGGCGGAGGGTGAACCAGTGTATAGATGGACAGTTCCAGGATGATCTAAGTCAGATGAGCAGCGCAATGAATAGAGAATTGAAGATGAGTGTGAGGAAAAACGACAACTCTGTAACACCCCAGTGACTGAAGTAGAGTGGGTTGCAGGTTGGACGGACCTATGACCACTGCACTAGATAACCAGATCATTATCCGGGAAGAAGTTAACACAGATGAGACGTACGAACGACTGTGAAGGGGACCTAATTGTCAAAGAGGCGAAGCAAGGGAAACAATAGGCTGATTACTTCAAAGGACTCTTGAATCAACCACCACCTACAACTCATTCAGAAATACCATGAACGGCAAAAGAACTACCAGGATTTTTGCATACCACGAAGCTACTGAAATCCGGGAAAACAGCAGGGGCAGAAGGGACCCCTCTGGAAGCGATGAGGATGGATCCAGAGACCTCACAGAACAACTCAACTCCACTATTATAGAAGGTTTGGCGAGAAAGAAACACGCTCACTGGCTGGAAGAAAGGTAATTTTGTCAAGCAAACAAAAAAGGCGAGTTGTGCTCCAGCATAAACTGGCACTGAATTACGCCCCTATCCACGCCAAGCAAAATAATAAGTCATATCGTCCTGGGGTGAATAAAAGACTCTGTGGATGCAGGAATCCAACCAGAACAAGCTGGATTCAAGAAAGACAGACCATATGCGGATCAAAATGCAAACATAAACGTCGTCATTGAATAGAACATAGAACGGTGGCCAACCGCCTACCTAAGTGTTACCGATTTTAAAGATGCCTTCCACAGCGTTGATGGTGAAGTACTTTGGAAGCTACTTCAACACCACGGACTTTATTATTTATTTATTTAAACGCATTAGAACTTGGTACAATATGGCACCAAGAAGGATGCGCCACACCGCAGACTGCCTCAAACACATATCAGCCTCATTTAGTGGCCGCATTTTAAGAGATTCAGAGAAGCCTTTGAAGTGAAGATAGGAACAAGACAAAGCTACTACTACCATAGAAGTGATGGACGGGATCTTGTGGCAGACTGGAATACATTGGGTTAGTGAGAAGAATTTGCACTTCGCGGATGATTTACTTCTTATATCATACAAACCTGAAGGCTTGTGTAAACCAACAAGTTGACAGAAGTGTCAGCAAAGGTAAGACTTTAAGTGAACACAGAGGTGATGAAGATACTTAACCAACCAACCACTAAAACCGAAAGAGGATTAGAATTTTCGATAGTGATGTCAAGTCAACCAGTGCACCGATACGATTCAAAGACTAGATGAGTCGTGCGAGGCATTTTCAACAAACTGCAGACGTTCGTCAATGGTTGTTTTTACTTGACACCAAAGATCAGATGATCGAAATGGGTGGACATCAAGGAAATCTGACATTGAACCAACTAACAATTCACTCAAAAAGTATGAGGAAGAAAATGGATATGGATCACACAGGCTAAGAGGACCGTCGAGTAGAGTCTCGCGTCAGACATGCCGTTCAGCACAGTCAGATTGAGAAACGGAAACCTAGGCATCCGAGAGTGACATGAGAAAGACCGAGTGAGTAGGACAATAGAGCCTATCGGCATTCGTAGAGCCCGCTAAAGAGTATTTGAGGGAATAGAATGAATTGGATTTTGCT